CGCCCAGGCAGCGTTTTCCCTGTTTCTGTTTCTTGTTTAGTTGCGTTTTTGTTGCTTTTGCGAGTTTTCCTTATTCGTCTGCAAACACACACACACACACACAAATGGGAGAACACTTATACATGTGCATCCCCCTGATGGGGCAAAACGGCGACCACTTGCCACTTGGAGAGTCCACTGACGTTTGCTGTGCGCCGCATCGCCGGTGGCACGAAACAACAACAGTGGCGCCCTCTGCCAATGTTGCAGCAGCAGCAGCAACAGCAGCATTGGGGCCCCCAGGTTGCACGATATTGTTGCATGTTGCAGCTGTTGGTCGCTTGCCACATGTGCAAGATCCCACCCTGAGCTCGCCTCGCCTCAGCTCCACTCCGCTCCCCCCAGAGCCAAATGCAGACGACATCTGTTTCGGGACCTGTTGTAGTTGCTGCTTGATGTTGCAGGCAGCTGTGCAACAACAACAACAACAGTTGGGATCCGGGACAGTCTGGCAATTTGCATTCAACTTGTGGGCTTTCCTCGAGTCTTATTTAAAATCTGGTATCTGGGTCCGTCTTGCGGTTTCTGCGCCGCGTGTGAACCAAACTGAAATCTCTGAAAGAAACGGCCAGGAAGGAGTCCTGGAATGGAATAGAATTACAATTTATTATTATAAATACTCAAAGAGCAAGGAAATGCTTTCAAGTGTTTTGATTGAGAGCAGCATTCCATTGAGAAATCAAAAATTGTCAGTGGAATTGCCCATCAGGAAAATCAGTCCTTACGTCGCAAGTAGCGACACACCTGCCGCGTCACTCCACTGTCCAGTACCCGTAATGGTCCTTGCCGTGCCGGAACTCTGTTCAGTTCTTGTAGGGTGAGACTTCTCTAATTGTACAATCGTATTCAGAAGATAAGAGGGAAGGAGGGAAGGACATTGAGAAAATTTCACTCAAAGTTGGCGTCCAAGGCGCATGTGCTGGGCCATGGCCAAAAAGGAAGCAACGACAGGGCTAGAGACCCTCCCGGTTCTTGAGTTTCCTATCTCTGGAAGGCCTCACCTCTTTTAAATACACTTTGCACATGGAGATACTGGTGCACCTCCTTCACCCAACCCCCCCACCAGGGCACCCACTCTCTTTTTCTTTGAGGCTCCACTTCCACTCGCTGCGAAGGAGGACTTTGCGGCTATTCGCTCGCAACGGACTTCAGTCGGGCGCCTGCCTTTGGCGCCGCCGGATGGATGCTGCGCTCCATGTGGGCTCCTCCTGTGGCGTGTGGCGTTCGGCCGGCGAGTTCTGCTTTTGGGGGATTTTATGCGTAGTCCGGAGTGCGACAACTCCTTGGGCTTTTGGTGGCTTTTTGGCTCGAAAAGCGGATCTTTCTCGCAATTTGGAATAGGCGCTCAGCGCGCCAAAAAGGGGGATGGAAAACAGAGGTTTTCCAGTCCGTCACACACACACACACACACACACAAACACTGGGGAAACTGGGGAAAAGGCAGGCAACATTGTTTCTCTCTTTGTATCTCCACCTTTCTCTCATTCGCTCTCTTTCTGCCTCGTTGTGGGTCCCTGGCTGTGTTTGCTTGTTGCCTGTTATTTCCGATAAAATTGACTTTTTGTCGCCCTCGTCGTTTGTCGTTTGTCGCTTGTCGTTTACCGTTTGTCGTGTGTCGCTTTCGTCAGTTGGCTCGCCGCGGCACCATTTTGTTTGGCGTCGGTTTCTAATGGGCCCACAGCCGTGGCAGCGCATCGATTGCTGTTTGTTGGTGCAGGGGGCTGTGGGCATTGGCACTGGAAGGCAGCGTCTCTACGAACGCGCGCTTAAAACCGCTGGACTGGCACTGGCGCAGCCTTGAGACGCTGCTGGAAACGCGCGCGTTTTGTGCCGCACGCTCTCTCTCTCGGTTTTTTTCTTTTCTAATTTTTGTTAATTTATTAAATAAATAGTACATTAGAACCAGTAGGTTATAAAACACTATATATTTGAGTTTAATATCTATGTATTCTTATGTACATATGTATTTGTATATGCAGAGTGTCTTCATAAAATTATAATCAGATGCAAATGCCATAAAAACAAAATCAATTCTTGCCGACGCTTTTCTGCTTCTTTGTTGTTGGTTCACAGCATTAACAGACAAACGCACACACACACACACACACAGAGACACTCAGCCACACGCTCTGTCAGACAGATAGACCCTCATTCGCTCACTCTCTCACTCACTCTCTCTCTCTCTGTCTCTGTGTTGTTCCATTTTGCGTCTACCACTCTCTCAATACCGTTTAACAGTAACAGAGCTCGTTGCTGAGTAAAAATGCGCCACAATCGTGCTACTAATGCCTGCTGATCGCCTGTTCGTTTTTGCGATAGACGGGCGACGTAAGTCGCCGCCGTTTTGCCTGAAAAGTCGCCGTCGTGCATTTGATGCTTTGGCGCGTTTGGTGTTTTCTTTGAATTTTTCGTCTGTCGACTGAGTGGGGGCCGACGGCGGTTAGAATCGCGCGACGGCTCCAACGATATGCCGCGGTTTTGTCGTCGCCGGCGATTTTTTAATTCGCGCCGATTTTGCAATGTTTTGTGCCGCCGGCAGTACATTTAAATGTTAACAGAATAGTTAACATTGCGCTCTCTCTGTTACTCTCCCTCTGCTGTGGCTGTATTTTTTTTTTGTGTGCTCTCAGTTGCGTTGCTGCTTGGAGGGGGGAAACAAAAAAAGATCATTAGGAAGTTTATTTTGCAAAAACATATTTTTAAGATGAGAAAATACATGTTCGGGTCTCGATTCTCTTTGGTAAGTGTTGTGCATGTTTAGTTATTCGTAAAAAGAATGAAATGCTAAGCAAATCAAGTCATATTATTGTATATATTGCAGTATCAATTCAAATTAACATTATCCATAATACTAACATGTATGTATAATATGTACACGCTCTGGCCTGATTTGTTCCACTGTATCGTACAGATGCACGTAGACATTTCTGGCCTGGGCTCTCTTTCCGCTCTCGCATGCTGTTTGCCGTTGTTCCGGTCTATCTCTCTTCCTTTTGTTCTCTCAACGCTGATGAATATGTAGAGGCATTGATAATAATGACGTTTACAATGTTGCTACTGATTGCAAAATTCTGCGCGCGTGTGTGTGTGCAGCCTCCACATCTGCTGTTACCCCTTTTCTTAGGTTCACTTTTACAGTTACTGTACAAATCTCTTTACGCTGAAGTTTTCTTGCTTTTCCCCATTGAGAAGGATTTATATTGCCTGAACTTTTACGAGTCCCATCGATTTCTTTCTGCCCGTTTGCTCTTTGTGCGGAAGAATCTTCTCAAGAGCCATGGCCAAAATTAATGATACCGAAACGCAAGACAGTCGAAGAATTTAATTAAAAATTCTAAGACCCTGAAATATGTTCGGTTCTCTCTGCCTCCCTCTCTCGCTGTCTCTCTCACACATTAGAAAATGCTATCAATGATTTCTATGACGTCACACATGTCATTTTATTGCATTGTAAATGCTTATCAATGACTACCTCAATGGGTGGAATTCCTATCTGGGCTCTCTTTTCTAATTAAATGCAAACGCTAGAGGTAGCAAGAATAGCAATAACAGTATTAGTCGAGAGCAGCAAACAAATCCAGGCAAAGAGTTTGACCTTTTTTCTCGTTTCTGGCTCTCGGCTCTCTCTGCGAACACACACGCACACACCAGCTCACTCACTCCCACCTGTGGGGGGAGAGAGCAACAGCAGCAGAAGACAAATGTAAACAATGCTCTCGCTCTCAATTTTGCTTTTCTGTCCTCTCGTTCAATCACACTCGCCGCTCGCTCACTGTCTTTCTCTCTCTCGCCTACACCTGCTGCGGCTGCTGGTCGCCTGTTCAAACGTTCGGCCGAACCGCCGTTCGTTTGTATGGGGAATCGAACGCGAGTAAAGTCGCGATGTTTTCGAATGCTCGATTTTGTTGAAAACCAGTTTTTCTTCGTGTGTCTGATGTCTGTCTTTTCGTGAAAGGGTGAAAGACGGCGGCGGGGCTTTGCTTTGGGTTAGGTTAGCCATAGCCTGTTGTTTACAGCTTAATTTGCTTGCCCCGCCGCGGACAAGTCGCAGCAGTCCTTTTCCATCCAGCTTCCCACCTCTCCCTGCTGTCCACGTGCCATATTGCATAGGCATAAGGTTGCAAAAGGTTTGTTGTTTTTTTTTTGCCGTTTCTCCTCCCTTTTGCGCCTCTGCAATATCTACAGTTGTTCGTCTTCGCCGTCATTCGTCGTCGGGCTCGTATTCGTTCGGTTCGGGCTCCAACGACCGTTGACTCCCCCACTCAAAGCTCCGTCGTCCGTCATTCAGTCATTCATTCAAGCGCCAGACGCTGCTCAGGGCAGTTGTTCAGTTTGTCAATTTCTTGCCGCTGCCGGCCGACGCCGCGCTTTGGACACGCGATTTTCTGTGTGTGTGTGTGTGAGAGTGTGTAAGAAACGCGCGACAGCCGCCTGCGTTTCGCTAGCGATTAATGTTTTAATCAGTTTTTGTCGCTTTTGTTGTTATTCGGAGTATTTTCGGATGCATTCTTATCAGTTCTTCGATCTATTCTGTTTATAATTTGTTGGGGGTTTTTTTTTTTGCTATGATCTCTCTCTCCTTTCGCTCTCTTTCACTCTATGGTTGTGGGGGTCGTCGCTTCTTATCAGCGAATTTCGGGTTCCGTTTCCACATAATCTATTTATTTCCGAAAGATGATCATTACTTGAAGCAACTTTAAAACTAATAAACATTTTTACCCTTTGTCTCTTTCGCTTTTCAGAGCTTGCCCCAAGATGATGACCTTGCCGCCGTTCGGCTGGTTCCACTTTCTCCAGCTTCCTTTGCACCGCTCGACGTAGAACCCCACGGACTTCCACAGAGGGGAAACCCTCACCAGCTCCAATCAAAGCGTCAGCCACTGCCACTAGTAGCCATACATCAGATACAATATATATATAGTTTATATATATATATAGATTTGGCCCAGCGTCTTGTTCTTCGTGATTTCGTCGCTGTCAGCGCTCGACGCCGACTGAGACGAGAGCAGCGAAGCAACGAGAGCACAGCGAAAGCCTCACCACGGACGCATTTATGGATGCGGGCGGCCTGCCAGTCTTCCAAGCCAGCCAAGCAGCCGCAGCCGTCGCCCAGCAGCAGCAGCAGCAGCAACAACAGCAGCAACATCAGCATCTGAATCTCCAACTGCATCCGCAGCACTTGGGCCTACACCTGCAACAGCAACAGCAACTGCAACTGCAACACAATGCACAGGCGCAACAGCAGCAGCAGATACAAGTGCAACAGCAGCAACAGCAACAACAGCAGCAGCAGCAGCACTCTCCCTACAATGCCAACCTGGGAGCAACAGCCGGAATCGTCGGCGGCCTTGTTGCTGGCGGCAACGGAGCTGGCGGCCCTTCAAATCCAGGAGTCAGCCTCGGACCCAACAGTGGGGGCGGCGGACCATCGCCTAGCGATGCCCTGCCACCCAAGCGACAGCCCAATGTGGACCGACTGCGACGCCGCATGGAGAACTACCGACGACGGCAGACGGACTGCGTGCCGCGATACGAGCAGACCTTCAGCACCGTCTGCGAGCAGCAGAACCAGGAGACCACGGCCCTCCAGAAGCGCTTCCTCGAGAGCAAGAACAAGCGGGCGGCCAAGAAGACCGACAAGAAGCTGCCCGATCCCCAGCAGCAGCAGCACCAGCAGCAGCAGCACCAGCAACATCAGCAGCAGCAACATCAGCAACAGCAGCATCAACAGGCGGCACAGACGATGTTAGCCGGACAACTGCAGAGCAGTGTTCATGTGGTGAGTGCCCCAATTATCCGTATGACATTATTTGGGATAGAGTTTGATCTGTGGCTTCAATCGTTAAGATCCCAAGCTGAAATGCAAGAAGACCGTCGGTTAACTATCACGTAGAATATCCTATGACAGTGCATCGTAACAATGGTTGAGTCATACACACGCAATGTATGTTGTTTCGCCAGAATGCCTGGAAAGGGGATGAAATAACAGAAGGATAACAAAGGTAGCAGCAGTAAAGTAAAACTCTAGACATTCCATGGACATGATCCTATTTGCTTGAAGTGCCATACGATCTCCATTGAAGACTGCTGCAGAGGCTCCCCCCCCAACCAGTAGCGGCTCCTCTCTTCGAATTGGAATTGTGAAATGATTGTGAATTCGTATTGGGTAAGAGTCTGAGCATTTTCTCGTCAAATGCAAATCGCATCAATGCATAGTTGCTTCATATTGGTGCATGGTGCATGGTGCAGCTCCAGCGTGAAGCTCCAAAGACTGGCCAGTGTACTGCAGCGGAGACGAGGGGAACAGCTCACACACACACACACACGGGAAATAATAATGAGGTCAGCGATTTTTGTGTTGTTTTTCTTTCAGTTTTCGGTTCAGTTTCACCCAGAGTTCGCATTCGAACTGCCTGAGCCGCCAACTTGTAGCCACAAGATACTGTATCTGCTGTTGCCTTTGGTGTTTTTTCTTTGCTTTTGCTCGTACTCGTCTTATAGGTACTACTTAGTGGACTGCATTTGAAAATATGTGCCTTGAAACCACAGCAAACAAACCAAAAAACAAAAACAAAAAAACACAGCCCGTGTATACTTTTTGATTTGTTTCCATGCGGTGAGGCATGATGCAAGTCGCTGCTGCTGCAGACATACATATGTACATAATTGTTAGTTCTCTTGACAATCCGTCAAAAGCGACTTTATCTCCGTGGCTGTTGTTTCTGTAATTACCAGAAAGAGACCCCGAGCTCGAGTCGAGCTTCTACGAGTACATACATATGTACATATATATCTTTTATCTGTCGCACACACAGAACGTGAGTTATTCTGAGATCAGTTTTGAGTGGAAAAGTTTTTCCGCATCCGCATCCGCCTGCCAATGTCAGGTCTTCGTCTTCGTCTCCCTACCCCTCTCCCTCTCCGTCACCGCCTCACCTTATAATTATTCATTGCTGGGGTTTTTGTTGTTTGCTTGGGTTCCGTTCTCCTCTTAATTCAAGTTCTTTTCATATGCAAAAACTTTGCTTAGTCAGAGGTCTATGGAACTCCAAGGGGCAACAAGAAAAGGAGACAGGTAGATAGACAGAGAGACAGAGTGAGAGAGAGAAAGAGATAATCTTCCATATTGATTCGCTGTAAAAATAGCCCATAAACGAAAGGACTCTAGCAAAGACTATACGTTCGAGTATTTCTTTTCTTTAAGGATGTTCTCAAAATGAATATACAAATATTTAATTCGATTATCAGTTGAGATTTGAAGGCAGCTTCCTCTCAAATCAAAATAAATCAAATTGCCGCAGCATCCGGCAGCAGTAGCTCGAAGATGCCACATTTCTAGCTGCCGCGTGGCATCTCTCGAATGAATTAATCATCAATGAGATGGATGGATGGATGGCTGGATGGACGGGGGGTGCCTAATCTTACAGTGCTTTTCACTTTTCTTTTCATTTATTTGCGCGTCTTTTAATGTTTTTGGAAAACTTTTACTGCCGCCAGCGGCTGGTGGCAGTGAAAATCGCTGCAAATTGCGGCCATTGTGGCCGGGGTGCAACATGCAAAACAAGAAAGCAACAGCAGCGGCAACAAAAAAATTATTGTTTATAATGTGTGTGTTTGTATTTGTTGTTGTTTTTTGGGAAAGTCGCGTGTTGCAATTTCTTCTTGTTGTTGTTGTTGTTTTCGTTGCACTTTTTTTCTGATTTTTATTGGCTTCGTCTTCGCGGTGAGGGGGGGAGGGAGGGGTAGGCTTTGTTTTTCTCCTTTCCATTCATTGTTGCCAATTTTCACTTCAGTTCGGGGTCGTGTGGCATTTTCTGACAGCCGTCAGTCTGTCAGTCTGTCAGTCAGTCAGTCAGTCATTCATTCAACGAAACAAAAGTTGTTGCATGTGGCAACCGGCGCACAACCCACCGCTGTGCCTCTTTCCCCTGCTCCTCCTCCTATCTATGGCTGCAGCTCTGAGTGCGAGTAGATTGTTGTTTTTTTTCAAGTGCCACCTTTTGCTCCGGCTCCTGCTTCTGTTGTTGCATCTTGATTGACAAGTGACAACATATTATTGGCGTATCGTTGCAAGCTTTGATTAGTTGGTTGTTGCTTCATTGTTGTTGTTGTTGTTGTTGTAACATTGTTTACAGTGCCTCAGGCCTTAGGGGTCTGTGGAGTGATTGCAATTTACAGGGAATGGCGGCCATATATATGGTTAAGGGGCTACCAGGTTTTTGGAATGCTTTCAGACATCTGATCTTATTTCCAATTAAGCGAAGGGCTGTACGTTGATTCGGCTTAAAAATTTCCCATAAACGAATGGACACGATAGGTAGGAGCTTCCCATTAGCTAACGTCCTACACAAGGGATGGGCTTAGAGCTTCAACCCCCCCTTCAACCTGTCGACAATTTACGTATTTTAAGAGTTTTAACAAATTTCTATTGAATGCATCATTTATCTTCGATTCGCAATCGATGGCCAGGGCAGACATCCCCCTACCAGCGCAGAGGCGACTCCACCTTAACAGTGTGTAACACCCGTGCACCCCTGTACCCCTGCACCCGTGCACCCCTGTACCCCTGCACCCGTGCACCCCTGCACCCCTGCACCCCTTGCGTTGCTCTGCTGTCTTTGTGTGCCCCCAAATGGAAAGATGTGTGGAGCTGACGAAGGGGTTGGAGCCACGGAAGAGTTCTGGTTGGTTTTCGACAAAATCGATTCCATTTCGACAAATGGCCAAAAAGGAATGAGACCCGAAAAAAAAGAAGGGACAGGAAACGAAGGCACTCTGAAATGCAGACGTAAAACCAAAGGCGGTCCTGCTGCCACCGCGTTGATATATTCCGTGTATATTTATAGGAAATTACATGGTATATGCAATTTCTGTGATTTTTCCATTAGTACTTTCAAGAGTTCCATACGGAATGATCTATTCTTTATGGCAGAGACAGCTGGTTAGAAGTTCGGATACAAACAGAGTAATAATTTTGAGTAGAAAGAACTTCCATTTTGTTGCCCTTCCAGTGGCACAGTGGGGCCAAAGTTGGGGCTGCCTCTGCCTCTATTTCCACACACATTTCTGCCCCGTTTTTCTGAGGGTATACACATCCTTTACCCGTGGCACTTCAAAGGCTTCCCTTTTCGGTGCATGATATCCTTGTGGTGCAGTGGGGTCCTGTGCCAAGGGTTGAGGGGCTGTGTGTGTGTGTGTGTGTGTGGGTTGCTCAAACACCAAAAATTGTGCATATTTTATTTATTATGTTTGGCAAATTTCATTGCATATTAAAGATGCAATTTTCCGCAAGAGGAAGAACGGTTTTTCCTCCCCATTATACTGGCCGCACACCACCCCCCCGCCTCTATTTCCGCCGCCTTCCGCCTGTCCTTTCAAAGCTTCGCTTCCTTCTGCCGAGAGCTTTAAGTTCCTTGGGGCTGGCTTTTTGTCAATTGTCTCGAAACATTTTAATTGCTTTACGTTTTGTTGTTTGTATTTGTTGTTGTTGCCAGGACAGAAATAATAAACAAGACAAAAGCGTAACACATCCCAAAAGCAGGAGGGGGCTAGGCTTGTGATTGAAAGGCAGACTTTTAACCCTTAAATACTCGTAATAATCGTTTGATAAACGTTCTCTTTTTTGTCCGCTTTTATTTGCGGACAAAATTGAGAGGATGCTGGTTAAAGGCGGGGACTATGTATAAGGTGGGACGTGAAGACTGTTCTCCTGTCGCTACTTTATTTACTTTACTTTTTTCGTGGCCTTTTCATCCATCCATCCATCCATCCACACATCATCAACAAGGTCTCCCCCTCCTTGCCGCACCTGAACGCTCTGAAGACAAGCCAGGCGAACATCCCCCCCTCCTCCCCGTGGACCCCTTTGTGATACCTTGGCTCCTTGGTTCTTGCCCCCCCCCCCCCCCCCCCCCCCCCCCCCCCTGTTGCTGGCGTTGCTCTTTCGGTTTTGCCTTTAAAAATCGATAAACTCATTTTGAAGTTGTACCCACAGACACACACCAGTAAGGAAAGCACATAGACACACACACACACTTGAATAGACTGTACCTACTTTTATTTTGTATGCGCCTACTAACCTCCCTTGCGAAAACCAATCCTAAGATTGCTCTCTTTAGCGCTTTAAAAGGCAGCGAGAGATTTATTCTTCGGCAAACGACGCTGCCCAAGTGGGCAAAGAGAATGCTGGAGAATCCAAAGACCAAATAATTTAATAAATAAATAATTTAATAAAAATACATGTCGTGTGCATGACGTTTGCTAGCCTCGTGGACTCTGCTGTGTATCCTCTTGACTGTTTTGGATAGCCTCCCCAATTAGAGACAAGTCTGAGAGTCACAAATGGCAGATCTAACCTTATCCTATCCTAGAGAATGAATGTGGGTACAGTTTCTGTCGTATTTTAAGGATTTAATGATTATCATTACGAACAATTGCCCGTTTGTCAATCACTTTCCACCTGCCTGCCGTTCAATCCAGAGCATGTCGCATCGATGCTTAAACGTTTACCGAAATTTCAATCAGCGCTTCTCGCCGTCAGATTCCCTCACATTGCTGGCCCATTACTCGACGTTGATGAGAATAGTGGTTAACCCTTGGATAAGGTGGTGGGGGAGGGGGGTTCCACCCTGCTCCGTTTTCCATTTGCATCCCGAACAGAACGACTCGGCCATGTCCGAGGCCACGACCCCAGGCTTGCATTCAATTTGTGTATCGATTACACGGCATGAGGCTCTTGTCACAGGCTGTGTGTGTGGGAGGGGGGGACCACAGAGCATT